TCTTTGATAGGAAAATGAAATGGCTCTAGTTAATTATTGGTGTATTTATGTTTGTGAAGGATGTGTCAAATTGTAATTATAAGTGATACTAATTTTTTGTTTGGTGTCAATTTTTAGAGACATGGATAGGGAGGATTAAACTCCTCAACCCCCCCTTTATTTTCTGTTACAGTTTCTTATTGCCAAAACCTTGACAAGCCTGGATTCTAATGTCTCCCTCTTAGATTGAAAAAAGTATAAGAGAGTTTATCAATTGTGTTTCTATTTACTTCATCTATCTAAACTTATCTTTCCTTTATAACTAAATATTTATTTATTTTCTATTTATGGTTTTCTGCTTTTTATTTAATACTCCTACTCTATCATTATAAAAAATTTTACAAACTTTATTTCATCCTATTTTGGTTAATCATATATTTAAAACAACATATTTCAAGTTAAAATAAAATAAGCCAGCCCAACAAATTTAACCTAAACATACTTACAAATGCATCAAAGAAAAGGGTTATATCTTTCTTGGGCTAGAATCGGTCCACGGAAGCCGAAGGAGGCGTGAGCGAGCCTACCGCATTAGCTCATCGGATCCTTTTCAAAATGCGCTGCTTGGTGCTTTAAAGGCTCCTTCAAACGGCATTATTTATGCTCAAACTACTTTTCTTTTGCCTCTCCAAAATGACGTCGTTTAGTGATTGTTAAACCTAGATATAAAAACCTTTTTTTCTTCGCCTTCCCTCATTTTCACCTTTCCTTTCATTCTCTAACCGGCGGCTTCCTCTCACTTCTCTCTAAAATCTAAACAGTTTCCTTTCCCTCTAAAAAGAAACCAAAATCTCACCCTCTTTCCTCTCAACTGGTATCCCCAACCTTAAAACCTCTTCAATGTTCTACTTCACAAACCGTCCTTCATCTCTCTGTCACACCCCGTAAACATCTTTCTCCCTCAGAATCATTCCCCCTATTGAGCCCATTTCTCCAAAATCTCCTTTTGAAAACAATGGTTTTTGTTTTTTGGTTTTTCTTTGTTTTTCTTTCTTTTGATTGTGGTTGCTGGCTGCTGATAGAAAATTAGGTTCTTTTGTTCTAGAGGTGTTTTTAGAACGGGTATTTCTAGGTTTTTTTGAATTTGCTTCCTAAGTTCTCAATGAATCTGCCCTATCGTAATGTGTGGGTCTAAAAACTAAATTAAAGCAATCCGAATGAATGTAGTATAATGGTTTTAGTGAATATTTGTTAAAAAAAATTATAAAAATGATCTTATATATGTCCATGTGTTTTTATAAAATGAGTTGGATGTGAATTTGTTATAATTACTGTTTATGTTGGTAACTTAAACATTATTGTAACTTTTGAAGAGTTATTAAAAGTTGTGGGTTACTTAAAAAAAATATTTGAAATAAAAAACTTTAAAAATATTGAACATTTAAATAAAATTTTTATCCATCAATCAAATTGTATAATAAAAATACTAAAATATTTTTCTATGAATAAAGTATATTTATTGAATTCAGCAATGGTTGTAAGATTTTTTTTGATCTCATGAAGATGATAAATAAGTTCTTGGCCTTAAAGTACTATATCTTAGTGCAATTTCAGCTTTAATGTATTTTGTTAGCAATACACAATATGATATATCATTTGTTATAAATTTATTAGCAAGATATAGTTATTCTTTAACTCAAATACATTAAAATGGAATTAAACATATATTTGATTTCTCTGAGAAATAATGAATAAGTTCTTATTTTACTTAAATGTATTTAAATTAAATTTAATTGGTTATGTAGATATAAGATATTCATTTAATCCATACAAAACTCAATCCTAAACAAATTATTTATTTATATGCGGAGGTATGACTATTTCATAGTATTTTGTAAAATAATTTATAGTTGCTACTTTTTCTAACCATGTAAAAAAGTTGACAAATGGTAAATGTATTTAGTTAATATTTGTAACTCAACATATTTGAAGAACGTGTGGCTTGTCAATTAAGAAGAAATTTCTAACAATGTTATATGAGAATAATACCACTTGCATAGCCTAATTAAAGGAATGGTACATTAAAGGTGAGAGTACAAAATATATTTCACCAAAATTCTGCTTACTCATGATTCTCAAGAAAAATGTGATATTAGTATTCAATAAATTCGTTAAAGTAATAATTTAACAGATATATTTAGCAAAATCCTTCAGACTGCAACATTTGAAAAGTTAGTATAAAACAGTAAAATGCTTTACTTTAAAGATTTTAAATAATGTCGTCATCGAGTGAAGTAAAATACACTTCGTACTCTTTTCCTTCATCAAGATTTTTTCTCATTGGGTTTTTTTTTAAAGGTTTTTAATGAGATAATATTTCAAAGCGTATTTTTGAAAAGAATTGTATACTCTTTTTCCTTCACTTGCATTTCTTTTAAAAAAGTTATTCTTCTAATAAAGTTTTAACGAAGCATATTTTTAATACAAAGAACATTCAATGAGAAATGTTTTAAATATATGTGTGAATGTCATTGTATCATGACCCAAGAATTCAGACTAGGCCAAGCAATCTCGTCGATATTAGCTCGATCAAGTCAAACACCATAACATACTAGACATAAAATTGTAATTTGATTCGAACTCTTAGATTTGATTATGTATAGCTGGATTTGATTTTAAGTTAGATTGGATTAAGATTAAGATTTAAGTCGACTATTATTTATTCAAATTAAATCATTTAATATTATATTTATCTTGTAAAATTCTTTCTAAATAAAAAGTTATTAGCTTACAAATAGATTTTTCACTTTATTTGCAAAGACACACTCAAAATAAGATCTTTTTACTTTTTTAATATTTTTTTTATAATTGTTCTTTCAAGCTATATTTCATAACATGAACAAAATTTTAAAAAAATAAATATTTTTCTTTTATGATTTTTAATAAATTTTAAAAATTATAAATTTTGAAATAGTTGAAATTTTTTGTTTTTTATTTTTGTATTTTTTGTATTTTAATATATCTTATTTTTGCAACAATTGATAAGACACTAAAACAAAATAAGATGTCTATATTAATTTTGAATTGAAACATATAAACACGAAACGTGCAACGATGTTGAAATTAGATATCCCACTTTAGTCATAAACTCATAGTCAATGTTGATGCCTTAATTAATTCATAAACTCATAATCAATACTGCTGCCCCACTTAAGAAAATTGATCACACATTTTAGTGAAAAAGTGAAAGGCCCACACCTGTTTTCTGAGATCAATAATGCCTTGAACCATTATTGTTGTCCCCTTCGCCCCCCTTACTTTTCTTTTCTCTGAAAATGTCTTCATTACTTTTATGATTCTTGCCTTTTTTTTACAGCTGCACTCCAAATTTTGACACGAGCAACTTGTGAGTGGCTTTAAGTGGAGTGTGGGAAGTGAAAATCGGAGTGGGAGTAGATGCAGTTGACCAGTAGGCTTAAACGTGATGGTTGGGGTTTGTGCAATTAATATAATTGTATGCCTGCCAGCTATGGCCATAAGTTCGGTTAGGACTGAAGAACTGAGGAAGAAGACTCGTTTTATTTATCCCTGTAAGTTGAGTATTTTAATAACTTCATTATATGGAATTCCACACACACACACTTAATATTAGGTGCCAGTTAGGTAGCTTGGGAATCAAATTTAATTTTCCTTTTTTCTTTGACAGATGGAGGCCCATAATATTTGTTCGAGCGCCATTGTTGCTCTGGTTCTTACTGAAAGATAATAATGAAAACCGGAGCGTTTGCATAAAAAACTATTTGTGGGTTAGAGATCTTTGGGACGTTGTGGAACAAACCTCAGAACCTCCTGAACGGGAAGATGAGGCTGAATTCAAGGCTTGGAGTAAGAGGAATGTGGCTGATATATATATATATATATAACTTTTGACAGAGCAATTAGTATCCGAATCTTAGCTTAGGCTTGAACAAATCTCAAGGGCAGCTATGCAGATGCAAAGAGAACTACAACGATTCAAGGTCATCATCTCTCTCTCTCTTCTATAATTCATCGTCTTTATCTTTGAAGAATAGCAAAGTCTTTGAGTAAATTGCATCATTTAATTGATGTTCATTTTTTACTTATAAACTTAAAACTGCAATTATTTTATAGGCAACTTTTTTTAATTTATTTTAAATATACCCATCTATCAACATGTCTTAAAATAATAACAAAATCGTCTAACTTGTTAGTTGCTTTGTCTGCACATACTTAGAGGTTTCTCTTTGCTTTTCTTTGAGTTAGCAGATGAAAGACAACACCTTAATAGAAAAATATTTGAAACTCAATATTGATGCCCCACTTAGGATTCTTTTCATACGTTGATTACCTTTAGCCATATTATCACACATTTTGGTGAAAGAGTGGCAGGCCTCCACTTATTTTTTAAGATCAATTAGTATTTGTTTACTAAAACCATTTGCAAATTGCAGATAATAAAAAAGTTTGACCAGTAGACTTAAACGCGTGATGGGGTGTGTGCATTTAAAATAATTCCAGTTTCTACTATGCCTACTGGCCATCGCCATAAGCTTGGTTAGGACTGAAGAACTGAGGAAGAAGACTCGTTTTACTTATCCCGGTAAGTTGAGTATTTTTATAACTTCATTACAGGAAATTTCACATATATATACTTATTATTAGGCTCAAATTAGCTAGCTTGGGAATCAAATTTAATT